GAGGAGCCCGACGACGACCGCGCGACTGATGTTGACCTCGCAGTGGAGCGCGATGGAGGATCCTGCAGTGACCCTCTCTCTGTGTGTGTGTGTGTGTGTGTGTGTGTGTGTGTGTGTGTGTGTGTGTGTGTGTGTGTGCGTTCTCACTGCGTTCTGATGATGGCCTCGCTACTACGCCCTCGATTCCGATGGCTTCGAATGGCGGGCGGTCAGGCGGCAATTCTCGAAGTTCCCCAACCCGCCAACGGTCTGCACTACACTGCAGGCACCGGCTGAGGGTGCACTTAGAGAAGCCAAAAAGGAAAGCCCTAAACGAACCGATACCGACCCCAAAATTCCACCAAACAATTTTAGGGGGGCGCCCTGGACCCGAGGAACAGGTCCAGGGCGCCCCCTATTTTTTTTTATGTTTTGGGTTTCAGCCCCCTCCGGACAAGCCACCTACGGTCCAGCATCCAGACACCGGACACCAGATCGTCTGGATGCCCGTCCGGATGTGCGCATGGTAGCCATGCCTAAAACACAGGGTTAAGCTGAAATGCCCCAAACTTCTGCTTCTGTCCCCATCCCGCTCATTGGCAACTTCGCCATATGCCCTTGCCCTGGGCTGCAGGGGCCTGCGCATTTCTTTTGCCATCTGCAGGGTCCAACGGCCAGAAATAGCCGGGCATATAGAGAAGTTGCCCAGGGCCCGGTAGAGGTACATGCAAAAGATGACAGGTCCAATTGGCAAGTGGGGTATTTCAGAAAGTTCCATGACTGTCAGAGGGGCATTTCACCATACCCATGCCTTTTAGGGCTATCTGACGAAATACCCGAACTTTCAGGAGCGTTTCAACAATTTTGAATTTTCCCAAAAAAAACTTTTAAAAAGCCATAAAAGAAAGGGATAAAATGGAAAATGCAGACGATAACTTTTCAATTTGAATTTTGAACAAAAATGCAGACGATAACTTTTCAATTGAATCTCACAGACAGTTGCAATCAGACTCGCTTCCTTCCACACGTCGCATGCATGTAAACAGGTAGCACAGCAAACCGGCGACAAGCGCCCACTCAAAGCTCAAAGATATGGCAACCAAGAATACAGTTCAGATACAAGCTCACTTCAGATGGCTATGGCGCATCAGCGCCTGCACGATTCCCTGTTCATCACGGTGCTAACTCCACTGTTCACACACAGGATCACCCTGGATGTCCCACACACAACTCACTGTACACACACGCACACACACGCTACACTCTGCTCCCAACTATGGCGGCTATGACCGCTACTACCTCTACCGCTATGGCTAAGCTCTCCTTCGGCCCACTTCGTCTTCGGGCACACTGCAGACCACCTCGCACAAGTCGCTGTGGCAGCGCTTCCGCATGGCCTACGCAGGAATGAATGAATAGCTGGGCGCTGCCTCTTGATTTATACTTCTGTAACTCGTGGGTCTGCCCCTTTCCCATGCCCGTGGTGCACACAGTCCCACACGGTACTCGCTTGACTGGACTGTGACTGACCCGGACCGGTACCGCTGACTGCATGGGTTTGCACTGCCAACTCGATGCAGTCGCACTGTCGACGTATCACACTTGGGCCCACCACTTACCCAGTTGCCTCTCTCGAAACGTGAGGAAACTTCGAAGGGCCACTTCTGGACCTTCCGGAAGTTTGTGGACTTGGCCCTTCGATACTGTAGCAGCTACGACGTTGACCTTTCAGGACTGTAGCAGCTACGACCTTGACCTCTCAGAAAACTCCACAGCTACGACTTCTAGAACTTGCGAGGGCCTCTACCTGACAGGTCTAGAGATCGAACCCCTACAACCTACGGACCTACGACAGCCTGTCTACTGTTGCGAATACACAGATAGGGTAGGAACTAGGGATCGAGCCTTGGGATCTGCATTCGCTACTGCAAACAGGTGAATACCGTTTCACTCCCGCCGGCCTAAATTCAAGGTCCTCCAAGAATAATTCAGTCCAAGATCGGATTTTTTACCCTTCTTTTCTCTCTCGTAGGCTCTAACGACGTCGGGAGCTGTTTCTAGAAGTTCAGTTATAGTGAACCAACGGTCGTCCTCGGGTTCCTGATAAGCAAATCGGACTTTGTACTGTTTCTGTGGACGACCTCTACCTCCTGTTCTGAATACGTCTTCACCTACAATGCCCTCAATGTCATACCTTCCATCCATGTCCGGAGGGATCATGGATCTTCTTGATGGAAACTGTTGGCTGGTGACACATGGCAACAACTTTGACGCGTGAAACACACGGAAGGTGTGGAGGTGTGCTGGGATCTCTATCGTATAGGACGGCCCATCCTCTCCTCCCTTAACTTCTAGAATGGCCACGGTCTTCTGTACGCTGGCAGTAACTTCTGCGAAATGTTTTCCTCAGGAGCAAACTCTTTGGACTTGACCCAGACTAGGTCGCCTACTTGTGACGGGCGACAGTGTTTGTTAGCCTGCTCTATCATTCGGTGCTGGGCCTTCCTGAGGTTCTCAACAACAGTAGCTATCTCCCTCTCGTGCTATATCGCAAACTCCCTAGTCCGGGGCGGTAGCCTATGAATCTGATCTCGGTTAAGTCCTTCAAACAGTCTGCGCGGTGTAAAGGACTTGTGTAACTCATTGGGAGTGCGACATGTGGTGCACGCTGTTGTTATACGCACTGGCTACCTTGGGCAACATCTCATCCTTGTTGATCTGATCCGGTCTAATATACATGCGCAGAACTTGTTGCAGGATTTTATTCATTTGCTCAGTCTGACCGTTAGTCTCTGGATGACGGCCAGATGACATCAACAACTTTGATCCATAGACTTTCATCAATTCCTGCCAGTTCTGACTAGTCAACCGGGTGTATCTATCGCTAACTATAGACAGCGGAATCCCGTGATCACTCACCCAATGATAAAAAAACTTCTGAATTACTAGATCAGTACGTGCCTCTGCAGGCAAAGGAACAAAAACTGCGAATTTGCTAAACCTACCGACTATAACAATGACTTGGCTCTTTCCATGTCTGCTCTTAACACTAGCATCCATGAAGTCAATGGAGACTTAATCTCCAGGCTGGTCAGGAATAGGCAAGGGTCAAAGAAGACCTAGAGGGGCACGAGTAGTTGTTTTATTTCTTTGACAGACTTTGCGACTGCGAACATACTCTATGCAATCGGCCTTCATGCCTGGCCAAGTGTACGCCTGCATCAGGTTGGCTAAAGTCTTTTGCCAACCGAAATGTCCCTCTGTGTCGTGGCATTCCCCTAGGATCAAACTACGGATCTTCTCACTGTTAGGAATGCATAGACGGGCTACCACATCGGTCTTCTCGAACAGTAATCCTTCTGTAGTGCGGTAATGCGGTTCAGTCTTTGGGGCCTCCTTAACTTTCTTAAGAAGGTCGCCATAGATATGGTCCTGCGCATACGGCTGTCGTACTTTCTCTTGCAGGTCTGTCCCTATGTCCAGATAGTGGACTATAGCTCCAAAGTAGTCTGATCTCCTACTTAGAGCATCGGCAACT